GCCAGTGTGGGGGACCCTGCTCCCCACAGACCCCCTGGTCAGGGCTGGGGGCTGTCCCTCACTGTAGCTGTAATCCCTGGCTTTCCCCCACTGAGCTGTGGAAGGAGTCTGGAGGGTTTGTTTGGCCAGAGCCAGAGCTGTGCCATGTCCCCTGCACTGGACTCCCAGCAGCCTCTCTGCCTAAAAGGGGGATCTGGGAACTGCACTGGAGTCTCCCCCAGTACAGTGGGATCTCCAAACCAGTGCATCCACTTTTCTGTGCTGGGCACAGGCAGGATCTCACTCAGCTGGGTGCAGACATCCCACCCATGCCGTGTCCCTGTCCCCTCAGGCTGATTGAGCTGCACTCCCCAGACAGCAGGAACACACTGGTGCTGCGGTGCCGCGACACGGCCACAGCCCACGCCTGGTTCAGCGCTCTGCATGCCAACATCTCCGCTCTGCTGCCCCAGGTCCTGGCCGAGCTCAACGCCACGCTGGGCTCCGGCAGCCCCGTGCCTGGAGGCAGAGAGGTGAAGCACATTGCCTGGCTGGCTGAGCAGGTAACGCACTGATGGGGTGTGCTGGGATGCTCCTGGGGATGGCAGTGCTGATGGGATGTGCCAAGGATGCCACCAGGGCTGTGGATGCAGCCAGAGAGCTTGGGCATCAGCCAGGGCACCAGCTTTGCCTTTCTCCTGTCCGCCAGCGCTTCCCAGACCTTCAGCCCTGTTTCTCTGGGATTTCCCAGCTGGACACACTCATCACACCCTCCCTTTTCCATGAATTCACTGAGAGCTGCAGCCAACTTGGGCACTGTGGTGAACAGGACCCTGGGGGCTGCTCCCAGCATGGTCTTCCTGGATGGCAGTGCCTTGGATACTGCCAAGAGCCTAGCAATGTAGAGCCTGTGGGTTGGGGTACAGGGATTGTGGTGCCTGGGCAGTGGGGAGCCCCTGCAGCCCCCATACCCCTCACCATGCCCTCATGCCCCGGCAGGCACGGCTGGACGGCGGGCGACAGCAGTGGCGGCCAGTGCTCATGGCAGTGACGGAGAAGGACCTGCTGCTGTACGATGGGATGCCCTGGACCAGGGACGCCTGGGCCTCCCCCTGCCACAGCTACCCACTGGTGGCCACCAGGTGGGCTGGGTCTGGGCCCCACCTCAGGGACCAGCGCCGTTGGCTCTGCCTCTTGATGGAGCAGGGGAAAATGCCGATGGGCATGGGGTGATATGCTGCTGCCATCACACCTCTTACTCTCCATCCCTCTGTTTTCACCCCCAGGCTGGTGCACTCGGGCTCAGGGCGCCGTTCCCCTGCTCTGGGCTCGGACCTGACTTTCGCCACGCGGACAGGCTCGCGCCAAGGTGTGGAGATGCACGTGTTCCGCGTGGAGACCCACCGGGACCTCTCTGCCTGGACACGTGTCCTGGTGCAGGGCTGCCACGCCGCCGCTGAGCTCATCAAGGAGGTGACTGTGGGTGAGTGCTGTGCTGGTGGGGGACCTCCATTCCCTCCCTCGTGGGGCAGGGTGGGCAGGGAGCTGATGGCTGTGCCCGCAGGCTGCACGCCGGGCGGGGAGGGGGG